ATCCGAAACCTCAAACCCTACCGCAGGCAGGGTGCAAAATAGACCCCAAGCCCAAGCCTCAGATCCGAAACCTTCAACTTCAACGGTCTGTCTGGCTGCACCTCGCTTAAGAGGTCCCAGAGAGCCTGGCAAGGAGCAGAATCCGAACAGTAATGTAGGGGCCTAAATAATTACCTATACTGTTTTGGGGGGGGTCCTGATTATAATTTATACTATAATGGGCCCCAAAACCCTATTCTGATTATTGAGGCCCCTATATTAAGCCTCTTGGAAGACTCGACTCTAGCCCTCATCGTGTCTTCCAAGACTCTAGTGATTCGGAGAGCACCTGCGTTCTACTTGCCAAAACCAACATGCGCGTCTCTTTTGCAGAAATAAGGCGCTCGAAGAGCGGGTCGATAGCAGGATAAGCCCGGTGCTGTCACTTGCAACCCTTCTGAGAACCTTCATGCAGAGAGTCTCGAACCTGCAAGCGGTGCTTTCACCTCAGATCTTCCGATGCGGTGGCCTGAAACATGTAAGCCCTGGAACACACCATTCGTAAAGGCCCTAAACCCCTAAACCCCTAAACCTCTAAACCCCTAACCCCTAAACCCTACCAAACGCTGAAGGCTTGGTGGGTGCCGGAATTTGAGGGTTCCAGGGCTCCAAAACCTTCTTGAACTTCAGTGCTTTCATTTGAGGCCTAGGTTTCCGGAATTCGGGATTCCCCTAAACTTAGACCCTATAAATGCCTATGAACCCTAAAAGCCCTACAAACCGCATCAACCCTTAACCCGAAGCCCAAACCGGTACTTTCCAGTTCCAGCGCTGTGGGCTGCCTTTCGAAGGCCCGGGCTCTGGAAGAACAGCGCCGAGAAGAGCGCCAGCCTGCAGTGGTACCGTTGATAATATATTTCCTGCATTACCTTAAGGACCCTAAACTATAGGAATGATGGTATACTCCTAATTATGGGTAATGCAGGATTTATATCATCAAGCGTAGGTATACGGTTTAGGGTTTAGGGTAAACGGTTCAGGGTCTTGGGTGTATGTGGGGCATTTGGTGCTTACGGGGTTTATGGGGTCTTGGGCTTGGGCTTTAGGCTTTTATTGGGGTGGACTTAGGGTTGAGACTTCAAGGTTTAGGGCTTGTAGGATTCGGATCAGATTTAAGGCTCATGCGGATGCTTTTCGGACCAAGCACCTCAGCCTCAGCGATTAGTCGTCAATTTGGCAACCGTCCCGCCAAGAGGCAATGGAATACTGTACAGGGGCCTTAATACGGTCAAAAGGCGTCAAGGCATCCTGTGCGAAGAATGAGGAAGGGACCATGAGGGGATACAGATATTGATACCGTTGCCAGTTATTAAGGCCCCTATATTATGCTGATTATGCTGGTGCGCACTGCTTACGCCCAGCCGTCATCTGCTTTGTCAGAGGTACACTGGGAGCTGTACACTGCGAGCCTGCCAACAGGCTAAACATGCGCTTCAAGGGCGCGTGCCCATCCTTTTCAAGGATGCGCTTCCCCCGCTTCCCTGTAGCAAACACGTCACACATGCAAATCAGCCACATGCAAATCAGATCAAATCAGCTACGTGCAAATCAGCCAGCATGAAAGCTCGCTCTACACAGCGCAGCGCCTAGCTTGCAGCAGCGTCGGCAAAGACTCCTTGTCCTTGCTGCGAAAGGATTCATGTGTGAGCTGCTTCTTAAGCTTTGCAAACTCATCGGCTTCTTTGTCTTCCCGGATAACGGCAAGCTCGTGGGTTTCTTCATCTTCCTGGTCATAGGCAGCTTGGAACAATGCAACGACCTCCTCTTTGGTGGGCTGATGCGGGTTTGTCAAACCGCACGCATCCTTCATTGCGTTGTCGGCTAAGACGGGAAAATGCTCCACCTTCACCTCCTTGAATGCCTTCAGATTCTTGGGGATGCCAACCCTGTTCTTCAAGTACCTGATGGCCTTCAGCACTTTCTTGACGGCAAGATCCTGGTCTTCCCCGACATCCGTGAAGCCCAAGGCGATGGCGATGTCGATGAAGAGATGCGGCACATACTTCGCGTTGTACTGCTGCACAGGACCTAACAAGATGGCGTTGCAAACACCGTGCGGTAAGTTGTACATGCCACCCAGCTGGTGAGCCATTGCATGAACGTAGCCCAGGCTGGCTGAATTGAAGGCCATGCCAGCGAGGAACTCTGCATAAGCCATCATGTCACGTGCCTTCATATTCGTCCCGTCCTCAACTGCGGTGGGTAGGTAAGTGCTGATGAGCTTTATGGCATGGAGCGCGCTTGCATCAGTCACTGGGTTCGAGATCGTGCTCACATACGCCTCAATGGCATGAGTGAGAGCATCCATTCCAGTAGCTGCAGTCAAAGACTTGGGCATGCCCACCATTGTCGTTGGATCGTTCACAGCCAAGGTAGGCGTAATCCGCCAATCCACTATGGCCATCTTCACATGCCGCACCTCATCCGTAATGATGCAGAAGCGTGTCATCTCAGCAGCAGTGCCAGCTGTGGTGTTCACCGCCACCATGGTCATCATGGGCTTGGTGCTTTTGTCAACGCCCTCCATCGCACGAATGTCTCCGCCATTTGTGGCCGTGATAGCAATGGCTTTTGCGCAATCATGTGGGGATCCGCCACCAAATGAAAAGACAAAGTCGCACTCTTCGCTCTTCACCATCTCCAAACCGTCTTCTACTTGGCCCACAGTTGGATTCGGCTGGCAGCCATCGTAGATGG